ATGAAAAACAACTCCACTATGATCAAAATAGGATACAAGAGAGTCTCAATTAGATTCACAAAAAGTACAAACAACCAGCTAAAACATCAAATCAATAGATTTATAAAAGAGGATGAAGAAGATGAAAAAAATACCAAATTATAGGATGTAGTACAAACAAATATCTCTCACACCAAGCAACGAATGAATGATCTCACTGTTGAAAATTATGTATTGGATGTTGCAAACTAGCTCATCAAATTTCAACTCAATCTAACGGTGAAAAAATCTACAAATATCGATTCATCAAGGCTACTTTCTGAATATGCGAAAATGACTTTTTCTTTTCTTCTCTCTCAAATGACTGCTCATAAAACTAAATATGACCTCTCTCACATGACCTAACTTGACCCCTCTCCACTTTACTTAATGAGACTCACAATAGGCTTCAATAATGGGTCTTTTTCCATATAGGAAGGGAGCTCAAACCCAACATATCTCCCCCTTACGACTATGTGGAGGTTATCGCCAATCCAGCAATCTTACAACAAGCTTCAAACTTCCATTTGCTTATAGCCTTAGTCAACATATCAGCAACATTTTCATCAGTATGAATTTTCACCAAATCTAGCAACTTAGCATCCAAAAATCTAGTGATACCTTACATCAATGTATTTTGACATAGAATGGAAATTTGGATTTTTAACAAGATGAATAGCTTTTTATATATCACAAACTAATGAGTATTTTTCTTGAGCAAAACAAAGTTCTTTCAAGAATCATTTTACCTATAACAACTTCTTGCATGCTTCAGTAATGGCAATATACTTAGTCTCTATTATAGATAAAGCTATACACTTCTGTAATTTAGATTTTAAGGCCACAGCTCCTCCTGTAAATTTAATCACATAGCTTGAAGTGAACTTTCTTCACATAGGAAGGGAGTCCAAACCCAATAAAACTAGCACTTATTTTTTGTATTTCTTATTTTCTTTTCTTATTAATATTAGTTTTTTGTTTTTTGAGTTTTATTTTCTTTGAATTGGGTCTATCATTTCTATGAACCAAATTCTACACATTATATACCTAACTTGTCCAACCCAGTGAAAATCGATGAGTTTAGTGAATTTAACTAAGTTTATATTTAGTTTAAGTTTATAACCGAATTGACACAATTTTGCAAGATAGAAACATAAAAATGGTAAAATGGGAAAGTCAACTTGTAAGTTTTACTGAGTTTGCATTTAGTCCAAATTTATAAGCTAATTGACATAATTTTATAATCTACAAACATAAAAAAATGATAAATTTATAGAGTTAACTTGAGAGTTTAACAATGCATACCACAATATATATATATATATATATATATTCTCCATGAAAACAATCTTTTTTTTTTGAATGAAAACAATATAATGATGATTAATTAATAAAAAATTATGATTAGGTCCCAAAACATTGAATTAATAACAGTTATATCCCCAATAAATTGTGTTAAAAAATAAGTTAAAAATATCGATATAGATACTTACAAATTCTAAAATTTCAATTGTAAACAATTATTTAAGTATTAAATGTAACCCTAAAATTATAATATGAATTTTTATTTATAACTGTTTGAATTAATAGTTATAATTTATTTGTTTAGAAAATTTTGTTGGAGATCTGACTATCATTAATTTAATCTTTTAAGGCTTAAATATTATTCTCTCATTAATTAATTATTAATTAATGATGAATTGAGAATATATAATGACTTTCTAACACCTTTATCAACAATGGATAAATTAATTGGGTAAAAGAGCAAACTGACTGTAAAACTATAAGTTTTAGAGTGTTTGGAACATTAAAATCATTTTTAATACAATATTTCTTTTTAATTTTTAAAAATAGTGTAATATAACCTCTACTGTTAACAAAAGTTAACTATGACTGCTAGTTAACTAAAAAATGATATTAAAAATTAAAAAAAAGATTAAAAAACTATAGACAATAAACCAAAAGTTATATAAAAGGAAAAAGATTTAATTTTTTTGTAATTTTTTAGTTAATTAATTGTTAAAATTAATTTTTATTAATAATAAAGGTTGAATTGTAAATATTATATTAAGAACAAGTTTAGGTTACAGACAACTAGACAACTAGAAAGAAATTTTGGATTTGTCATGATAAAATTAACATTATATGCCTCCAGCGAAATTCCGGTCCAAAAAAAAAAAAAAAGCCTTCAGCGAAATACTTTTGAATCATTTTTTTTTTTTAATTCTCCGACAAAGGCATGCATTTATGTTTTCACTTTATGAAATTTCTATTGAATAGTACCTGGAACAGGGAGGCGTAGGTTTAGATATGGTCTATCACCTATGTTTGATTAAAAGTAGCAAATACACAGTTACTTGTTAGGGTGCTTATACAATGAAATTGTGTCAACCCAAATTTGAAAGGTGACTTTTTCATTGGACTCACTGTAGACATCATCATGACTTCATGCGATTTTTTTTATATTTTTTATTTCATTAATCATAGTTTATAATTAGTTTTTATCAAATAGTAAATATAAAATTATAATAAATTATATTATTTATAACTTGTGAATAATCTATAGTTTTTAATTTATTCTAAACTGTCGTGTAACAAATGAGATAATGCATCTATTTAGTTATAAACAGTTTTTAAAAGATTAATTTAAAAATTTATTCAACAGGAAGGTACATCCAAAGCAGGTGATATCATTAATAAATAATAAATATTCTTTTCATCTTAAATTATATAATATTTTTTAAAAAATTTAACAGTTCTAACATATAATGGACTTTAATAAAAATAATATTTTATTAATAATATTTGTTAATATTATTTTTAAAATATTTTCTATTTTTAATTTTTTTATCAATAAAATATAAAATTAAAAATATTTTTAAAAATTATATTTTTAAAAAAGTAAAATTATAAAATATGTTTAATAAATTTTATTAATATATAAAATTTTATTTAAAATGTTTTTATAATTTAAAATGGAGAAGTAATAAATATGCAAGGGGACAAGAGTTTATGATATTCTGGTCTACTGGTCTAGCAGAGTAGCGGTCTAGGTCTATAGACTCTGGTGTTTCGCTGCAGATGGCATCTAATAGAGTTGATAGATGGTGGGCCAGCTTCCAAAATTTGGCTCAGATGGACTGTCCAAATAACTCTCACTATGTCTGTAATGAATTGGTTGAACCAATGATTCAAGAATCAGTGATCGAATTGTAGTTGAGTCAACAGATCGAAAAAAATATAATTTAATTAAAATATACAAAATATTAATATGTAACTCTGATAAGAGTGATGTTCAATTAAAAAGATGGTAATCTACAAGTAAATGGAACTTTCATGTATAAAAACAGATAGGTAATCTAATAATACATATAGTTACTAAAAGATAAATACGATGGACTACTATTTTTTTTTGTTTTTTTAACTCAAAATGATGTCATATCAGGTTTCATAAGAAGATAAAAAATATAAAATTCAACTCAATCAGTACATCGTAAACTCTTGATTGGATTGATCAAGAAATTGATTCATCAATTTATTAGTTTGACAATTGATGAATCAATTTGAGTTTAATACTAAAAAGTCGGATATTCTTTATCTATTTTCTTTTTTAATATGATTAGAGCATCTCTTTTATGAAAAAGCTTGGATTCATTCATGACAAAAATCAACAAGTAGAATCCATACAAATCCCTAGCTTAAAAATATGATCTGGGATATGCAGAGCAATTTATATCTCATGAAAGTATGGGTTTGAAGCCTTTTCTCATGTGACCATCATTGTGTGCACGTTGGGAACCACATTTAAAAATTAAAGTTTCAAAACGTGGTTCATTATACTTTTTAGCCCTACCAAAGTGTGATCTGTCTGGAACCATCCCGAACACACTTTTTGTTAATACACGATTTAGAAGTATTAATTAATCTTAAATACTTGTTTAAGCTATCAAGTGTGTCATTGTCTTAGTGAATAATCTAGAATCTTACTCATCAAAATTTTCCTTTTCGGAGAGAAAAAATATACAAAAAAATAATTAAGATGAAATTGAGTTTCTTGACTCTTGATGGAGGATGACATTGAGAGCATTATTTTTAAAAAAATTCAGTTAAAATCAAATGAAGTTTCGAATTCAATTAAAATTGGACTTGCACCAGCACGTATGAACTTTAATTCCTAGGTAAATCAGGAAATCATTGTTACAAGGTCCTAGGACGTTGGATATAGACGAAGGTTTCAGTTAAAAATTCATGAAGCTAGCCTGCTGCTGATGATTCTTGCTCATATACGGTGGGAGCGAGGAGGAGGCAAAGCCTACTATCCACTATCTATTTTAATGCTGTCCCTAATTCCCTATACACGTACCTAACTGTCTCTCTCTGTTTTTTTTTTTTCAAAAACATTTAGATATATACGTGAAAATTAACAAAAGAAAAATGGCAGACCATTCTTTGATTATATAGCCATATGTATATAATTTTTTTAAGAAAAATTAAAATATCAATGCTTTTATTCAATCCATTTATCCTTTACTTTTGTAGTATTTACATATGGGTCTGGATAAAAAAATTTATAAAATGATATATAACAGTTCATAAGCTTAATAAACACATAAAAAGAATTAATTTGGAATCTTAATTAGGTCCTTGGATTAAAGTTCAAAAAAACTACACATGTCAACATATTAAGTCAACTTAACTGTTGCCACGTAATTACAAGTCAACAGTGCTCCCATCGCATAATTACCAACATCTTGCCTCCCACCAATATTTTTGAATTATGCACGATCATTAATTTGTCAACTTTCTTTGCGAAAATAAAAATTTTTCCTTAAATTTTATTTGGATACAAAATAAACGGGGCCTGGATGTGATAATAAAATTGAGGAAATTAAAGTTAAAAAAGAAAATAAAAAAAGTGAGTTTGTGTAGTATAAATAACTGGGCACAAAGCGATATAGATCGAATCCAAGTGAATCTATACATCTCCCTCCCCCATCGTCACTAGCAGTGAAGCTCACCAGAAACACCCAATGAATATGAGTGCGTCAGAAAACCCTAGCTCTCACAAGCGCGAGAGAAGATCTTCATCTTCTTCAGCCAATCTGATGCTATTTGGCTTTCCATTAAGCAAGAGTGCTCGTGATGCTTCCATTTCCTTCACCAAGAGATTTAAATGCCATTTCTGTGAGCGAGAATTCTCCAATTCTCAAGCTCTCGGAGGCCACCAGAATGCCCATAAAAGAGAACGTCGACAAGCTACCCTAGCTCATTTCGACAACCTTAGCCTCCATCTTCTTCCTCTTCATCCTCGACGCCTCCAGATCACATCATCGTTACTTGCTTCGTCAGCACCATCAGGACCGTCGACTCACCTGGTTCATCATCATCAACAACAACAAGCTTTTTGGTCCGAGCCTGAGCTTTGGTATGGAGTTCGATCGGATGACAGAGAGGCACGTGATGATGCTGAAAAAGAACTCTCGAGTGAAGGATCAGTACAAAATGGTGATGATGATGTCGATCTTAACTTGAGTTTATAGCTTTTGAATAATTTGACAAGGACTTTCCAAAATTATAGTACTCCAATCTGTCCCCCACCCTTGTTCTTATCTCTTAATTTATAAATATCAGCATTGGGTTGATTTGTCCCATCTCAAGCGAAAGTGCTACTTATTATAGAGCCATTTAGGCTTGTCTCATCTGTATTCAGTTCAAGTTCTCTGGTTTATTTGTGCTTTGTTTGGAATTGCATGTGTTATATATTATTATTAGGTATCTGCTGGCATTAATACAAAAATATGCTACCTCTATCTCTAATGATCTACGAATGAACCCATTTTTAGAGTTAAATATTTAATTTCCATCACATAAGCAGAGTTTTTTAATTCCTATATATGTATAATTTCCAACAAAATTCTTATATATACTGCAGAGTCGATGGATTGAATATGATATCATTGCTAATATATACTAGTACTTCTTTCTTAATTAAGGATTGATTAGGAAAAATTACAATTAAGGAAATTCCTATTGATTATTAATTGTTAAGTCATGTGTATGTTTGTTTGTGTGTAGTTCTAAATTTTTTGCTTGAAACCTCTCCAAATGTCATGTGCATGTGACTCTGATTTTTTAGGACATCTAAGTTAATTACTTTGGCTTCCTTTGAAACACTTTCTTTCTTTCTTTGTTCTTTGTATTGTTTATAGGTATTCTTCTATTGGAAGCAATCCTATTCGAGACACAATTGAGCATTAAATGTGGTCACATTTCCCAACGGGAATTCAAACTTTTGTTCGCTACGTTGTAAGGGAATAACCCCTTCCGTTAGACCCGTTTGGTTTGAAATGCTTCCTTAATCATTTAGTTAATTTCATTAAGCAATATCTAAGGCTGCAAAATACTGATAATAAAGCATAAATTTTTCATCATGGTCGTCGTACAACAATTATTGGATGTTTGCAATTAGTCGTGTGTGGGATTGTGTGTGTGTGTGTGTGGGTATATCTAAATATCTTGCCTGAGGGCAGTCCAAATGTCATGTGCATGTGAGATGTGACTCTAATTTTTTAGAACATCCTAGTTAATTAAGAGACCATACGAGTTATTTAATCACTTAGTTAATTTCATTAAACAATATCTTAGAGGCTGCAAAATACTCATAAAATATCATATCTCTTGCAACCAACAAGAGCTTGATTCAACTAGCTAGCCAGAGAATTGTACCAATTTGATTAGAGGTCTTGAATTTGAGTTCTATAAATACAACAATGTTTGAAGATAAAATTTATATGCTTGAAAGGATTTCTGACCCTACTTAATTTTAATTAGTTGAAGCTGTTGGCTTTTGGACACCGGATGATTTTAGAAGGTATAAATTTCATCATAGTTGTCGTACACCATTTAATAGACGTTTGCCACTTGTCAGTTATAAATTGAACGAAGGTAATTAGTGTACAAGGAAACCACATTAGTGATGTACTACGTCAATCAACACATGACCCATTTAGGCGTGCAGCTTTAAGTGGCTGCAAAGAAAGGTTACGTACAAAGAGGAGATGTGGTTAGATTGGAGGTTGTGTGTGTGTAATTATGAAAATGATGATATGAACTTTAATAGATGAGATTAATAATTCCATAATAAATTTAATAGATCAAATAATTGGAAAGTGTTATCTTTTCAACATTAACCATCAAACAATCAATTAAAGTACTGCTTAACTGGCAGGGATTTGTATCAATTTAATCAATAGAGTCTTGACTATATAGTTCTACTCAATTCATCCCATAAAAAATGAATAATTGTATATATAAAAAGGTACTAATACAGGTAGAATATATATATTGGTTGGAGGCTTTTTTGGTTCATAAAAATGATGTTAATAAATGGAATAGAGTCTTATTCATTGTGAATCACAAAAAAATAAAAATACTAAAATAACCTCATAAAAAAATTAATTCCCCCTTTGTCCTTTGTCCTTTGTCCTTCGTCTTCGTCCCTCTCCTTCCGCATTGACAGGAAAGATGAACCAGATTCATCCACAAAGAAAAACAAAATCAGATTCGAAATAAAAATCAGGATCTCGATCTGCATTCAGATCAGTAGCATCCAGATCGCAACAAAAATGATTTTAAATAAAGCTTTTTGTTAAACCCAAAAACCCTTCTTTGTGCTAAATATCTGACGAAACCCAACGCAGCCTCCATTCAGTCGAGCCCGAAGACAGATGGCGAGAAGTGTAACATTCCATATCATTAGCAAGTAGCTAATTCTCCTAATCATTATCGGAGAACTTCATCAACGATATTTTGGGGTTTAGGGTAAAGCAGAGACATAATTAATTGGAATTTTGCAAAATTTTGAGGTTTTGGCAAATCAAAGCTATGTTTGCTGCAGTGAGCAGTCACGAATCTGGATTTTAAAACAGAGAAGTGTACAACAGAAACAGAAAGTGGAGGAGGTGCGTCTGAGACTTGGGCGCTGTTAGGGTTTTGTTCAGAAAGCTTTAGCCTTTAATTAGGAGATAGGGATTGGTCAATGAAGCTCCAGAATCATCTTTCTTCACTTTCCCATTTACTTTACTCTTTATAATTCCTTTTTGCAACAGCCCTTCCCAAAATAATCATCATATATTTTTTATAATTTTGGCTGACTATATAATTAAAAATTGAGAATATAGATGCGTAATTTTATACACGTGAATCCTTATTCTTCCCCCTCTATTGCTTCATTTCTGTACTCTTTCAAAAAATATATGGTCTTTACCCTTTATTATTCAATTTATTTAATTAATTTTCGATTACCCAATATATGTTTATCCAATTCCTTTTGAACGACCAAACATGCTATTATGCAATGTTTGGGTATATGGAGTTATTGTTGTGGTTGGCCGGTATTTAATGACTTAGAATTTGGGGAATGATGGGTCTTGAGATGTTGGTATTTGGTGTAAATATAGTTGTTTCGATTGAATATGAAATGCAATCGTTGAAAATATTTTGTTTTCCATATTTGTAGCTTGAAACTTTCTATTACATACTCTTTCCACTTTTTATTATAGACTCCTTTCTAAAAAAAAAATTATTACATTCTTAATTAATACTCTCACTGTTTAAGGATGTAAGAGATTTTTTGAAGGGTTGAATATTCAAAATGTAAAATATTTTTAATATTTTAAAAATGTAATTATTTCCCTTTTTCTTAAAAAAAGTGCTCATATTGAATAATCACTTTATATTTATTTTAAAATAAAAATTTTATTACACAAGGGTAAATATGAAAAGATAGTGTTAATTTAAATACGAGTAACAATAATTTTATTAAGGGGTGAGATTTGATTAAAAATACTTTATATTTTTGAACAAAAGGGGTATAAGGCACTTGGTGGGGGTATTATTTATGTTTTTCCAACATTACCCATATTTAAATTTATTAATTGTGAAAGGGAATGGAATGCAAATTTAAAATATTTTCATTTAAATGGGAGAAATATTGAAATTTTATTATAATTTTAAAAAATTTAATAAATTAACTATATTATGTCTCATTGATTTTAGTGATGCGATTAAAAGATATTTTATAACAAGGATCGAGAAGAGTAATGGTTTAAAATTAGTGCTTGGCTTGAATTCAGCCCTTCAAGAGGATTCAAGATAATTAGGGTGTAATTTATTTTAAAATATATGTTTTGTGATTACAAAACTTGTTATGATAATCTTAATGAAGTGATTATCTCGATAATGATTATTGTGATGGGTAGAACTGTAATTTAATCTGGTTTTCTTTTCTGTTGGGCTATTGGGCTGATGGGTTGTATGAGTTTAGTCTGGAGGTTCGAACCAATCTAAAATTCGTTCACCATGTTATTTAGTAAGGTTAATCCAAATATGAAATAAAATTACATATGCTCCCCAATATTTGTGAAAAGAGTTTGTGATTAGTGTAGTCAAACTAATAATTTTGATACGTTTATTGGGTTATTGACTCAAACAAAAATTAAAAAAAAAAAAGAATTGCAAGCTGTTTGAATTTGTCTAAAGAAAAAAATCTAGAAAAAGATATAGGTTTTTTTGGCCGACTGAACAAAAATATTGGTTTTGGTTCGTAGGATTATAGTTAATTTTAGTGAAAAATTTTATTAATGAATCAATCATTATAATTATCATCAACTTTGGTCAATGCTCCTAGGAATTATATGTGGCTATGTAATAATAATAATAATTTTTTGTTGACAATACTAATAACTTTGATCAAAACTGATTATTATTCTAAGGATTGATCCCTTAATATAAAAAAAATTAGAACAAGAGTCATTAAAGATTACTCCCTTTGATCCTTTATATAAGGTAATCTCTAAAAATAAAAGTTGGTCTAAATTATAATATTCTATTTATTAAAATTTATAAACCCACCTATTCACTTTTATTAAAATCAAATTCATTAAAATATTCTCTTCATCTTCCTCTTCCTTTCCCTCCAACAAAAACTATGGGCAAAAGTTCAATTACATTGACCAACATTGCTAATAGATTTGGGCTTTCACAAAAGCGTGTCTTGGGCCATATAACTGAAATATATATCAACCTGATTTGATTTAGACAAGCTGATTCAAAAGAAATGGAAAATAATAAAGATTAATAAAATTTAATTGATAAGGATTTAATCTACAATCAATCACAAGTTAATAATGTAATCGATTTTGGGCCTAATTTTTTAAAAAAATTGAATCAATAACGTAATTGATTTTCTAGTTTAGACACTAAATCGGGCTTTGTTGTTACTGAATTTTTATTTAATCATTTTGAATTAAACAAAGAATAAGAGAAGTAAAATACAAATATTATTATGAATATGAACTTATGATATATTTTTTTTGAATCGCATTACAAATATTAAGCAGGATATGAAAAATTACAACTTTAATATCCATAACTTTCTTATTTGATGATCTTCATATTCCCCCCTTGAACAGCATCAATATCCAATCAATCCCGAAACTCTATTTTCTTCACTAAAACGAAGAACTTGAACAGCATCTTGAGAACATATATGTATATATATATATCTGACAAATTTTACCTCACTAAGCAAACACCAATAATTTTTTCTTATTAAACTATAGGCTGATGATAAATCTCCACCAAAGCACACAGCGAAAAGGAAAATTATTGGATTTAATATGAACAAAAACTTCCCCCAAATTCGTCATTGCCATTACCCCACAAGCAGTTCACATTCAGGCTCTCTTCTTCACAAAGATCTAGTTGATTGAAATCCCAATTAAGCCACTGATAATCATAGACTGATATCTCTGACGAATTAAAGTTACTGTTTCCACTCATAACATCCTCATCACTCAGTCCCATCATTTGCTTTCCCACCATTTCATATAAATCACTCCCCAACATGTCATTATTTCTGCTCAGCACCAATTCATTTTCTTGTTCCACATAATTCTCACCTGGGTTCATAGACACACCATTTTCCAACATGAAACTGAGCTTCTTTATCTCATCGTCTAGCCACTGATACGGTCCCATGGTCTCAACATTATCATCACTTGAGCATAAAGGAGCTGCCATAGCAAAATCTTCAGGTCCCACATCGTTGGCCCAAGTTTGCGTGGCTGGGATTTGTTTGGACGTTTTGTCGAACACCTTGCCTGCACTGCTTTGTGAATGGGAATTCTGGGCCGGAGAAGTCATGTTGTTGAGCTTGACAGTGGGCTGAGTGGGCCTGACCCGACCACCTCTTCGTTTTGAGGAAACGGCTATGTTGTTCACAGAAGGCAAGGATTCGTTTAGGGTTTTGATGAAGCAGTAGATTTTCCTCCTTAAATGAGAGTTCCAGTAATTCTTTATCTCATTATCAGTTCGTCCTGGTAAGTGTCCTGCTATCACAGACCACCTATTTACAGCCAAGAAAAGTTAGTAGATTTCCAAGGTTTATCTGTATTGTGAATAAATGTCATTCAAATTTGAACTATAGATGTAAATGACCCATTTGCCCCCAGGTAATGCACTAAATGTTGTAATGATATATAAATGCTAATAAATAACCTCATATGGTGATGATGTGTGATAAAGGGAAAGGGTTCTCTGCTTTTCTTTACCTCATTTTTTCTCCTCTTCTCCTATTTAATCATTCATTAATTTTATAATTTTAAAAAATTATTTAATAAAATAATATGAATGATTAAGACAGAGAAAGTGAAAAGAAAAGGTGAGACCTTCCTCCCCATGATAATTACTTGCATTGGCAGATTTTTAGTGCATGTTTGTTATACGTAAAAAAAATGTTTTTCAAAAAAGAAAATAGAAATGTATTTAAATTAAAAAATGAGATAGATGTGTTTTTTTTTTAAAGAAAACACTTTTTTTTTACCTTAAAGTGCATTAAGTTTTAACATTTTGACAATATAAAGGTACAAGCAAGTGTGTGTACACGGCAAAAAGAAAAGGAGAGACCTTCCTCCTCTTGCAATAAAAACAAAATGTACTTACTTTAATTTGAAAATATACGTACATGGCGAAAATCCATTCATGCACACAAATAGCTCTGCCACCGGGGACTTATTAATAAAGAATTACAATTAGGTTCTAAATATGGAAATTAATTATTTTTTAGTTAATTTACAAGTCAAACTTCTAATTTACATATTGAACTTAGTAGTAATTTATAAGTTGACGAGACTTGTAAATAATTACCAATTCTCTTATTATCTGGCACCTAAAAATAATTCTCTCTATTAATAAGTCACTCGTGGCAGAGCTATTTGTGTGCATGAATGGATTTTCCAGATTATAATTTAGTTCCGGTTTTCATCTGGTGGTGATTTTTTTGCCCCCAGTCTTTGGTCTAAACTAAAGGACATTACAACGTATATACAGTCCCAACCATACAATATTATCGTATAGCTAAAAAAAAATTCATAATATATTCATCAGAAAAATAAACTTCATACATATAAATAATTGCACTAGCTATTTTCAATTATTATCTTTTTTTTTTTAGTAATAACTCTGACTAAATCTGATCGAACTAGGTTGAGACCTTTCTGAGCGCTGCTATATTTTCAGGATTCAAATTCGAATCCTCTAGTTAAGTTGGTGCAACTTTTTACTGGGTAAACCAAGCGTTCGTTGGTGCAGTTATATTATCTTTGTGAACACACACACGACTGTGTATATAACTATGGAAGAGCCAATTATATTTTATAATTTTTTTGGGGGGGGTGAAAAAGACCAACACCAACCTTACCTAACTTGTTTAATTAGATTTTACATTTAACAATTTCTGGGACATCTCCTAAAAGCTGCAACCCAGTGGAGGCGTTCTTGCATGCTTATATTATATTACTCTTTTAATAAGAATTAAGGTTACTTAGCTTGCGGCAAGTTTCTACGCAGAAATCTATTTTTCTTTGTTACTAAAAAATATTTGCCTTCAAAAACATCAATATAATTTTGTTACTTAGCATGGGACATTATAATTTTGCTCACCTCACTTATGTAGGTTTAAAAACTGAACGTTAATTAATATTTTTTTCGTCAGTACGAAAAAAGACAAGGAAAAAAAAAATCTTTTGTTCGTGGTTGGTGAGAAATAAAGTTTGTGGTACCCAACAGAGTATATGCCCCTACAATGTTTTTGTCAACGGAAAAATAAATATATCAATTAATTATGATATACGAATGATCATTCTTTTCACTGGTGTTGCAGAATTGTTTCTGCATTCATATTTCCGCTTCAACAAATTCTAAGAGACAATGAAGAATTGTATATAGTTTGTATAGCCTAAAAGTAAAAGGATTAATTAATTCGTCGGTTAAACTAAACAAGAGAAATGAAATGAAATAATCAATGGACCTGTTGCCGAGAGCAGCATGCAGCTTGACGATGATCTCTTCTTCTTCAGGAGTGATGTTCCCTCTCTTCACATCTGCCCTCAAGTAGTTTATCCATCTCAGTCTGCAACTCTTCCCACACCTCAACAATCCTATACATATACATATACATATAAATACAATTCCGTTATTAATTTTCCTCAATATTTCATCAATCGCGCGCAAACGCATGCTGATATATGTGTGTGTGTGGAAAACATGTATATACCAGCATTCTTGGGCAAGTTTCTCCAGGAGCCTTCACCGTGTTCTTGGATGTACTGTGTCAATATCTTATCCTCTTCAGCTGTCCATCTTCCTTTCTTCAATCCCACTTTCTCACAGCACGGTGCTCTTACCATTGTTTCTGCTGCACACAGTGCACTCTTGCTTCTTTTAATTTCTTCTGTAATATATATCTCTGATCTCAAGAGTTTGACGCGATCGTCTAGTTGTATGTGGCACTATTCATCAATGGCAGATTCTGCATTTCTGGCACTCTTCATCGGCGCGTATATATACTAGTGGAGTTGAACAGTCTAACAAGGAGAGAAAACCACAAATTTTCTGGTTCAAGTACGGTTCTTTTAACCAGCATCCAGCTTACGTGATTATTACCTTGGTCCACACGATCATTTTTCTACCACAGAATCAACTTATAAAGCCATGTTTCGTGAAGTAAATGAATTACTGTTTACATCTCTGGCCCCTCCTTCACGTTCAGACTAATAAATAAGACTTTTATCTCAGCGTACATTTAACCTAACTTCACTGTTCATTAGAGTAGCTACGTACCCTCGAGTATATATATTATGTTAAATACTGAGCTTGTTTGGTTATGTAAAACAGTTAATAGATAGCATATTAGATAAAGCTGCAATAAAATTATAATCAGATATAAGTTGACATCAGGATCATGAGTTTTAACAGATATATATAAATATTAAGCTTGTTTAGTTATGCAAAACAGTTAATAGATAGCATATTAGGTAAAGCTGTAATGAAATTGTTATCAGATATAAGTTGACATCAGGTTCATGAGTTTTAACAGTATATATGGCGAGGAAGTGTGGTGCTAAACTAACGTTGTACTCCATGAGCTAAAACTACACGTTGAATATAATATTGATGGAAACTTGCCCATGAGATAGGGAAGAGATAAGTATAACAGGTATATGTATTGGTGAGAGTTGATAGAGAGAGGAGGGAGATTGAGAGCCAAGAACAGCAACGAATGAAAAGGAACAAAGAAATAAATGAGAGGGAATTAAACGGAATCTTTCGATCGGATGGTTCAAAAATCTCGTGGACCATTTCTTTCTCTTCCTTCCTCAGCGGGTGATTCTTTAATTCATGTCTCTTCGATCTCTAGGCTTCTCACTTCACTTCACTTTTTATTGTTTTTTAGTGTGTTTTAACCCTTTTTTGGAGTATAACTATATACTTGCTTTTCTCAGTGGCATCGCATGGCCGTACGTTCTGGACAGAGGAAAGAATTTTGTTCTGCCGACAATTTAACCTGAAAATGGGGCAAGAGTGCAGAATTGGTTGGGATATATTTGCTCTTTCAATGTTTCAACATTTACATATTTGTTTTTCTTAATGTCTGATGAGCATGTAAATTGTAAAAAGTTCTTTTCAATTTATTTGCCATCAAATAAGTTAATCTTGCGCATAATTAACATCTACTAGATAGTGATATTATATATATGTGTGTATTTTATAGCCATAAGACATAAAACATTTAATAATTTAAAGTTAAGTTTTAATATTAACCTATACTTTAATTTAATATCAATTGATATGACAATACAAATAATTTTGAATGATTTTCTCTGGAAAAAATATATACTGCAGAATTAAGAAATTAATTTTATCAATAAAACTATGTCAAAGAGCGATAAAAAGTTAATATCAATTAAATTTAATATCAATTATTTTTATTTCTAAAAATCATTTTCAAAGAGGAAATAGTCATTCTCTGTTCTGTTGTAGTCAATAATCTAATTAACAAAAGTAGTCATTTCCTATAATAATCACTTAGGGCAAATATGTTATTTCATCAAAAAATCAAATCTCTATCAAGCAAGTCTCTTGGGACTAAATAATAATTGTTATATTTTGTAGTACTTAATTATCATTTGCATATTTTAAGATAATTTTTTTCACTTTCTAATTTTTAATAAATAAAAATACATGTAAAACTTAAATTAGACAAAGTTAATGTAATATTGTACTCTCTTTTTTTTTAACCAGCTAATGTAATATTGTACTTTGAGGGAGATATCTTTTGTTATCCGTGGAGCCAACATTTCAATATAATATACCATAACTATTTGCATAGTCATTAATTATCTGTGTGTTGTGTGTGTGTGAGAGAGAGAGAGAGAGAGAGAGAGAGGAGAGAGAGAGATTTCACCCTTGTAATGAATGATTTTCCACAAATAAACATTGATAGAGAAAAAAGAAAAACAATGACGTGTTTGGTTTCCCATTGGGAAATGAATGGACGTTTACCTATATATGTTCTTAAAATATTTTGGGCCTGCTGATGCCTCATTTTCCATCTTAATCATTACCGTTTTTGATCTACGTACTCTTACAACGACCCAACAATAGGTACGTATCTAGGCTCTTTCTAATAAAAAAATTTATATGCACCTTAAACTTATATATCTATATATTATATATATATTATTTTCCAAACAAATTAGAACAAGGAAATTTTAAATTTATAAAAAAATTAAAATGTTAACAACAAATAACAATAGTTAAATTAGGGGTAAAAAAATGCACGTCCAAATTTAATTAAAAAAGCCTTAAATTTGAATAATTATTTACATGTATTTAAAGTTCAGAATTTGTTTACATAACCTTTTTTTAAGAGAAAAAATAACTCTACTAATTGTGAATAAATAAACTTTTTTATAGAGTAGACTCTGTCAAAGATTACTTCCTCTAAGATAGAATTTTTTTTATCTACGTTGCTACATATACAAGAGTTAATATTCAAATCTAAGGTAATTATACTTTGAAATACAAAAAATGCTTTATGTTTTTTTTTAATGAAAGGAGTAATTTTGAATGACCCATAATTAGTGACGTGTATATAGTGTGCATAAGGTTGAAGGAAATTTGAATGACCCTTAATTTTGAAATTTGATTATGAAAATGTCAACATCAATGACACTTCAACGTTGAAGGAACATATTAAATAACGGCACATGGACGCACTATTTTTATAAGGGAAGGCAACGAGGCAAGTAGCATAAGGTGAGAGATATGGCTGAGCAAAGGAGAGTGAAGTAGGTGGAATTATGAATATAGAATTTTTTTTTTTTGATATATTATGATGAATATAATATATAATTTAAAATGAATAACTCTTTTGGTTTATATGGGAAAAAGATTAGAAGCATCAGGTACCCTAACTAACTTTTCGCTCAAAGAAATAAATGACCAACGTGGCACTATGCCAACTTACTTCACTGGTCATCATTGTAGGTACTACCAATTTCTCCCATTGATGCTGCTTCAGCCATCATTCTGCTAGTTTGTCCAAAAAAAAAAACATCATTCTACTAGTAATGTTTTTTTTTAAAGAAAAAAGGTTAGACATTTTTAAATCCTAAGAAATAATGAGAGTGTCCGCAGCTGTACTTCGTAGGACAAGAAAAAAAATAGTTGTCCGGATAAAACCACGGGACCGATAAAGGAAATTAAATTTATTACTTCGAGAGTGGTCTTTTGATTTGAATTTTGAAACCTTGAAATCAAGAGAGCAGTTGTTTTTTTTTTTTCGGGTATTTGAAGCATGGTATTAATAATTTGAGCCATCAAATTAATTTATGTATGCATATATATATATATATATATATAACTTGTTAAACTTAAACGATTTTGCAAGCAAGTTTTTACTCAAATTAAGCAAAGACTGGAATACTAGAATTAGATTGTGAATTCTTCATATTTATTTAACTAATGAAAGAGAGGAACTGGATCTAAGATTTCGTCATGTTAGTTTTCATTTGTAATAAACTTAATTTTTTTATTTTTTGGGAAAAATGGATTGCAATCTTTCACAATATATTAATAGACAACTCTAAAATTAAAATTGAAAGAAAGTTTATTAATTAGTTACTACTTTCAATATTGTGTTTATTGTATTTGCTTTGTTAAATTGAGCGTGTTGTGTAACAAGTGATTAAATTAAAGAGATAGCAACCAATGAAAGGAGGGGCGGCCCATCAACCATAAGCCTTCAAAATTGAATTTGGATAGTAAGTTACAATTTTTACGCCAAGATTTGATTGATTAGATATGAGAATATGGGATAAATTCAGGCTAGCATCATTGAGCATTAAATGATGAAGTCCAAGGGCTTATCTATGACTTCAATCTCTGTTTGATTGATTCGTTTTACTATAAATTATGTGGATGCACTTGTTATCCATTTTGTTGCATCCTACTAAAGAATGAGTTTTGAGATTACATCTAAATTGATTCTTATAAATACTTTTATCATATATTTAATTTTATTTATTTAACAATCTTTTATATAATTCTCATTTATTTTTGTTGAGATTATGACTCAAATTCTTATAATCTTTTGTGATTATTTTTACATATTATTTTAGTGTAAATCTATCATATCTTTATTTCATATTTTAGAATATATTTATTATTATCTAAGATAATATTGTTAGCTAATAAGAAGCTATATATATATATATCTATATCTTGTCTCTCTATCCCCCATAACAAAGACATATATTATAATCTTCATTTTTTATAGTGAAATTATTTGCTCGTTGTCGGGTTTTTATCCCCAATATTAGGGGTTTTTCACATTAAATTCTTGTGTCATCTTTATCACTTTCTCTAACTTCTCTATATATTCAATTATTTTATCTTGTTTACTTTTTTTTAATTATTTACGTACTTCCTAACAAGTGGTATCAGAGCTTAATTCTCAATTGAAAATTTTTCATGAAGTCTACTGTTATAAAGTTTGATATTGAGAAGTTTAATGACAAGATTAGTTTTGCTATTCAGCGAGCTTTAATAACTCTAAATGGCTTGAAGAAAGATTTGTTTGGAAGGATAAAAAGTAGGTGACTATGTTTGATGAGCAATTTGAAGAGCTACATGAAAAAGCTCTTTTGACTATTCAACTATGCCTATCCAAGGAAGTTTTATGAGAAGTAATTAATGAGACTAATGCGACTTCATGTGGTTGAAGGCTGTGTCCTCTTTATATGACAAAAAGTTTAGCATATAAGCTTCATCTCAAAGAATGGTTATATACCGTTCATATAGTTGAAGGTATTCCTTTCAATCTTATCTTGATGAATTTAATTCCTTATTATGGATTTAGAAAATATAGATGTCAAAAATTGAAGATGAGGATAAAGTACCTCCTTTAAAGATGAAAAATCTTAATTTATTATCTAAAGA